TAATTACAGGAACTTCCATCTGATCTGTCTGAATTTCCTCAAAGGGAAGGTAAAGAAAATGAAGTCAATTATTTTTTACTCATTCAGCACAAGTCTGTACTGTCCTTGTTCGGATACAGAAAATAATATTCCCAAAGAAGAGAAAGCACGCATAGGATGAGGGAGCTCCACGTGGGTTCAAGCCTTCCTTCTTCTCCATGGGCCTGCCCTTCGGCCTTGTAGGGATTTCTCTAAATACCCTTCACTTAAAAGAGGGCAAGGTGAGAAAGGGCAGGAATGAGCGGAAACCTTATCCCTTGTTCACTTTGTAGATTTCTACCTCCGAACCCAGGCTAACTGGAATGAAACTCTGCTCATAAATGCTGACCTTTCTACATATTCAACTCCTGTCCTCAAGATTAAAAGAGTTCCCTCTGAATTTGCTCTTGCCTTAGCATTTATCTCTGAGTAACCACAGGCAAATGATCCTGGTATTCAAACTGACATGACTTTAGGATTTCATGCTGTACAATGCTTGTAATAATTTACAGCAACAGGGAAAAAAGGAAATAACAGAATTGCCGCAACATCAGTGTTGTGCTTTTTCCCATTTGACCTGGCAAGAAATTATCAACTCAGCCACAAAAGAGAACAACTAAGGTGTTAGGAAGGTGAAAAAATGCTGTTCTAGTGCCGCCATTTATCCCAATAATGGGATGAGTGTAGACTGTTTGTCTAGATAGTCTAGATTTCAGCAGGATTCCTTTTTCTGCCCCTTTCAGACTTGGATTGTTTTTGTGTAGGACTAATACAGAAAAGACTAACATAGAATGAGAGCACATCTTTTTTTTTTCAAATGCCTTCATAGACCTAAAATAAAGTATGTATGAAACAAATACTTCCATATATGCTGTCTTGAGCCATAAGCATATATGAAAATTAGTCTTACTTTAATAATCAATCGTTAATATGTCCCCAGGAAGATTTACTGCCAGATTTAGAAGGACAGAAATAAGCGATGAATTTAGAAATTCTGCTGACTTAATTTTGAAGGGATTGGTTCATTTGTTTTTTCATATCCTGATTTGAGGGTTAAAAAGTTAATAGGTTGATTATGGTTGCATCAAGTCAGATGATAAAATTTTTCTTATAAAAAGTGGGTGATAACAACACACTTGGATATGTACAGGGTTAATAATTGAGAATTACTTACATGTATGATTTCCGTACATGATTCATGACCTGTAACTGTGCCCAAGAATTGCATGACAGTTGATCAAGATTTGAAATATGGTTCCTGTCGTTTGCAAATGGTCTTTGATCACAAATTACTTCAGTTGGCAAATATTACAGTCTGTTTTTTCTTTTCTGCTTTATTTACATTTTTTTCACCATAATGCTTTGTGTTTGTTTTGGTGGTGTTCTGCTTATTTATTTTTAAATACATAAATGAGCAAGTTCTCTGATAGAAGGGGAATCAAGGTTTTCAAGCTGATTTTTCCACCTCAAATGAAAATAATTAAAGTGGACACTAAATAGCAATGAACATGATCCTCATTTGACCCATTTATTCTTTTGGTGTCCTGAAATAGATCCTCAATAACTACATGACATTGTATGCTATTCTTCATAATTTTTAGGGTTATACATTATACAATTTTAAAAGAAATTTTTAGATATATCCTCTAAACTGATTGCCATCACCATTTCTCCTCTGGTGGGTTAAGTCTTCCATTGCAGAAGACAGAGTAAAATCAGATAGATAGCGGATTGACTTATTTCACTCAGCATAATACCCTCCACTTCCATCCACATCGAAGCATATGGTGGGTATTTGTCATTTCTAATGGCTGAGGAATATTCCATTGTGTACATAGACCACATCTTCTTTATCCATTCATCTTTCGATGGACACCGAGGCTCCTTCCACAGTTTGGCTATTGTGGACATTGCTGCTAGAAACATCGGGGTGCAGGTGTCCCAGCAAAACCCCTGGTTCTTATAAATCATGATATACAATGGCTTTAACTAAAGTCCTTGCTAAATTTAATCAAGAACATTCTGCACAAATGACTATCCTTTATGCAGCAGTAGGCACTAATGGCTGGCTTGCATAGGTGCATTTATCCTGGTATTAGCAGTGAGGTATTGGTGTCTATGTGCTGCATTTCTTGAGCTTTAAAACATGCAGACAAGAAGCAATCCAAACAGTTTATTTCCACATAACTGAGTAAAGTAGCATCAGATCCTAAAATGTAGTCCTTGCCCACTCTCTAATGGTATGACCCAATCTAGGAAATGACCACAAAGCTTTTAGATGTGCTTTTAATATGAATAGTGGCCCTACTTTATAAAATAGCATTCCATGATATTACTTTCTGATTAGACTACTGCAGGATTTTTTTTTTCAAGTAATTTTTTTAATAGTTAAACTGAACTATTTTCAGGCTTTTCTCCATGCAAAGCAGGAGAAATATAAAGGCTCTTTTTGATCTGGTGTCTTGTATTAATTTAAATTGAATCTTCACTATTTGAATTTATTGCAGCAGATGTCCTCAGCTACCCAATTATTTTAGCACAATTTGGCACATATATAATTTTAAAAGATCTTGTATCTAGGCGAAGCATTTAATTTCCTACCAAATTAATCCCTTTGGAACATTACGTTGGATGCCATGGTGATTAAAAACAAGACTCTTTCGTAACAGCAAGTTGCTCCAGTAAATACCCAGTACTGTGCACAAATGGAAGATTTGCATTTATTTCCTCTGTTATATATGGTGCAGGTCTTCTTATTACTAATTATGTACTCTTTCTCAGCTATTTTTATAACAATGTACGCTGTGCCCTTTCCTAATTCTGGGTTTTCCTCTTCCATTTAAAGGAGACGATATGCTTTTCTTGACCCTAAAATGGCAATGAATGTTGGGCTAATCCAGAATTCTTCAGCAATGTGGTCAGGAACAGGAATGATAATAGAACTTTATGTTTAAGATTTTGCTTAGCTAAGTGACCTATACCTCAATATGTATTTTTAGCAATTAATGAAAATAAGTTAACGTGTCCCAGTTACTATTGCTGTGTAACAAATTATTCTAAGACTTTTTAGAGTGAAACAACCATTTTATTATATGCGCAGATTCTGTGGATTAGATTCTTAGGTACAGCATAGCACAGATGGTTTGACTGTGATCCATGATGTCTGGGCCCTCAGCTGGCAAGACTCAAAGCTTAGAGATGACTTCATGGCTCAGAGCTCTGCAAATCTGGAATTTCTTTCATATACATGTTTGACACAGAGTCTGGTATTATCAAGGTCTGGAAATTCAGCTGGGAATGTTGGCTGTAACACCTGTATGAGCCTTCCCTGGTATTTTTTTAATTTTATTACCATGGTGGCTTGTTTTTGAGGTAAAGGATCTTAGAGGAAGGCATGCCAAGATCAAGCATTCCAAGAGTACCAGGTAACAGAACCTCAGAATTCACATGGCATTATTCCCTCCAAATAGCTATATGCCCATCCCAGGAGTCAATTTAGATTCAAGGAGAAAAGACAGACCCCACCACTTAATAAGAGAAGTTGAAATAACTTGTGGACATACTTGAAAACCACAACAAATGTGTCATCTAATAGAGTCAATAGATGATAATTTTTTGTGTATGTTTAAGATTGTTGTGGTCTATATATAACATTACACATCCCTGGACTGTTAAGAGATGTGAAGTTCAGGTAGATTACACAACAAACTATTCCCCATATATGTTATAGTCAACTTTGCTGCTTTTTGTTTTTTGCTTTAAAAATATTTTATTGTGGGGCCCCTGGGTGGCTTTGTCATTTAAGCATCTGCCTTTGGCTCAGGTCATGATCTTAGCGTCCTGGGATCCAGCCTTCAGTCAGGATACCTGCTCAGTGGAAAGTCTGCTTCTCCCTCTCCCTCTGCGCCTCCCCCCCCAACCCTTTCCCCTGACCGGCCTCTGACCCCTCCCTCTGTCTCTCCCTCTGCCCCTCCCCCACCCTTTTCTCTCTGCTGTCTCTTCTTCCGCCCCTCCCCACCCCTTTCTCTCTGACCCCTCCCTCTGTCTCTCCGCCCCTCCCACTCCCTTCTCTCTGACCCCTCCCTCTACCTTCTCGGTCTGGCCCTCCGTCTGGCCCTCTATCTGCCCCTCCCTCTGCCCCTTCCGTCTGACCCCTCCCTGAGCCCCCCTTGCCTCCCTCCCTCTGCCCCCCTCCCTCTCTCCGTCTGACCTCTCCCTCTGCCCCAACCCCCTACCTACACCTGTGACTACTCCCTCTGAAATAAAATCTTAAAAAAAAAAAAAATACCCCAGGCCAAAAAGAACAAGAAAAAATAAAAAAGACAAGTGTTCTATTGAATATAGTTCTGCATGAGTATCTTTATTAACTGCTAATGAAAATTAGGACTTTCTGGGGATCTTCTGGTAAGACTTTTAAGATGTTCTCTCCTTAGCGAAGCCATCTTTGGAGTTAGTCATTATTCTCACGATCACGGTTATCTCAACTTCAGCTTGATAGTTGTCTTCCTTTGGTCCAGACACTCAAATGCTAAGAGTAGCTTCAAGTTAAGGAAAAGTCATTTTTCACCATTCAGTTCTCTGAAAAACTTCCATCTCCCACTGAGAATCATAGTCCAGGAGTGAAGTAGTCACATGCCAGAACTTCAGGGCCAGTTGGAAAGTCATTTTGATCATTGGCATCGGTGGATCTTCTTTATGACCGGCCTGAAAATGCACAGCCCTGGAAAAAGTGGCCTCTCTGTGCACATAGGTGATTGTTAAAAAGGCGAGGCCGATATAACAGGGGCTAAGGTTTGATGACCAAAAACCAGCACAATGAAAACAAATAATCATGAATATTGGGCACTAGAATTCAAATTATCAGATACCTTTAAAGAGATGTGGTGTCCGTTTTTAATTCCATCGTGAACACCACATTATTAAAGAACTATATTTAGAAATAGAAGAGGGTTGAGGGGAAGGGGAAAAAGCCAGAAGAATATCTAAATCCTTGCATGATCCTCTACTTGTTCCTCGTAGACTTGGATCACATCATCTTCCTCCATGTCCAGTTCTTTGGGGGTGTGATTATCGGCGATTCTCTGCCCATCAAAGAGAAACCTGAGCGTATTGGTGGTAACACCCAGCCTTTGACAGTACAACTCTTTGAGTTTCTTCAGATGGGTCGTCGTTTTCAGTTTGAAGTGAACCTCACTGTTGTCTTGTCCAACGACTTTGAGTTTAATGTATTTTCCTTCCTTCTTGCCCCCCAAGTCCTTGCTGGAAGAGCTTGCCTCCTGGACCTCCATCGCGGCGGTGGCGGCTTCGCCCAGGGTCCCCCTCGGCAGGCGCAACCCTCGCTGCGGCACCCTGCGGACTCCTCTCTGCACGACCAGCACGACGCCCGGCCTGGCCCGTTCTGCCGGCCTTTGAGCCCCGCTTCAGAATTCTTCATTACGTGTCGTCATTTTCCTTTATGACCCGTCGGGGGACGTGGGTCGCGTCCTACCTTGGCTACCAACGGCTACAACTCAGCAGCGAGCTGAGATTTAAACAGTCACGGGGGGCTCCCTGGGTGGCGCAGTGGTTTGGCGCCTGCCTTTGGCCCAGGGCGCGATCCTGGAGACTCGGGATCGAATCCCATATCGGGCTCCCGGTGCATGGAGCCTGCTTCTCCCTCTGCCTGTGTCTCTGCCTCTCTCTCTCTCTCTCTGTGACTATCATAAAATAAAAATAATAAAAAAAAATTTAAACAGTCACGGGAAGGCGATAAAAGGGAAGCGCAGAAATTGGCAGTGTTGATGAATGTCTCTTCACCACCTGTGCCCTGTGCTTCCCCCAAAACTAGATAGCGGGGAAAGGACTTCTTTTCCTTGCATGTAGTTTATTTGGGAGGCCCTTCGCCTGGGGCGAAGTACACGTGCCCCGGAATCACTGGGCTAGATGCATAAGAAGCAGGGACGTTTTACCACCTACAGCTGTACCCATAGTTTGAGATTTGGGACCAGGGGTATCAGGGATGCCACAGTTAGCCATGGTTTTTTTTTTTTTTTGTTTTTTTTTTTGTTTGTTTTGTTTTTGTTTTGTGTGTGGGGAGCATCATCCCCTGCTGCCTAGAAAACCCTTAGAGAAGATGGGCCACCCAAGCCCTTGAGGGAGGGAGCTGTCCTAGCGGATGTAGGAATCATCAACCAGAGATGCCAGGTGACTCATTCGGGCCATAGGGGATATGCGATCGGACATGGGATGGACAACTCCTCCATCTTGTTGGGGTTTTTTATGATTATGTTTTCATAAATGTGTTACATTTATTTAGTTTAATAAAAGCAAAGAATCTTAAAGGCTTACAAAAACCAAAAGTGTAGCTGCTTGTGCCACCTTTTCCCTGTCCTCACACCTTCTCCCTCTAGAGGCAGTCCTTTACAATTCATATCATTCTCTTCATCTACTTACTTCCATATTTCTAAATAATACGTATGTTGTGCTTTATCCATGTTATGACTTGTACATTGCCATTGCTTTCCTGTTATGGCCATTCTGCAGGTTTTTTTTTTTTTTTAAGATTTTGCTGATTTATGAGAAAGAGCACAAGTAGAGCGAAGAAACGGGGACGCAGGCTCCCTGCTGAGCCAACATGGGGCTCAATTCCAGGACCCCGGGATCATGACCTGAGCCAAAGGCAGATGCTCCCAGGCACCCCTGCCACCGAGAATTTGATGTTTCATATTGTCTCACCTCACCGCCTTCCAATTTTCCCTCCCTTCCTTTTTCCTATCTCATTATATCACAATTTGGGGGTAACTCAATATTCATACCATTTTGACATTACATAAATTTTCCATTAGTAAGACAAATTATAAATAATAACAGATCCTTGCTTATAAAACTTGATTTTCCTAAGGAAAAGTGTTTTCATTTTTTATTTGCTCTTTGAATGTACCTACTAGTAATTCTTTCCACATGCTCTATAAGCTCTGTAAGATGTATTTTAGCAATATCGTTCATATAGTTAAATACATTTCCATTTTCTTTATGGATTCATCTACATTGGTGACCTCTGTTCAGTTTACTCATGACTTGCCTACTGTACAACAGTCATCCTGTCATTCCCCTTAATCTTTATTCTAGAACTTCTCTTTGCTCTCATGTTAGGGGACTTGCTTTCTGGCTCCAAGAATTCATGTCTTCTCTCTTGGTGTGTTACCTTCCTTTAGTGAATTACATCCCACATTAGGTTCTTGAGAGTTACTATGGATGGGAAATTGTTCTGAGGTGAATTGTATCTTTAAGTGTTAAAATGTCTTTATTTTACTTTGACATTTGTTTGCCATTTTGATGTCATTATAACATTCTAGCTTGAAAATCATTTTTTTCAGAATTCTGAAATCATGCACAAGTTGTCTTCTAGTTTCCAGATGTTCTGGGAATTTCTGTGCAATGATAATCTCCAGCCTTTTGTAGTTAACCCATTCTATGTGCTGTTGCTCTTGGCTTAGTTTTAGCTTTCTTCCTGAAAGATTCCGCCTTTTTTCCTTTATCCTCTGTGTATTAATATCTTGTGATGGTAGTACGTGGGCTCGGTGGGTCCATTAATGTAATATTTATGCCTCTACTTTCTGGCTAACATGGTATTTGTCTCTCTTAGTTTTTTTTTTTTTTTTTTCCATTTGCACTCCTTTTTTAAAGAACTTTTTACAAGTCAACTATGAACTTCCTGGTTTGGCCCTTTGATAGTGTTCCCAGTTTTCTCCTTTCTACCTCTTTTTGCCTTCTTTCTGCTTGGGGGAGATTTTATTGACTTCATTTTATTTTCTATTTTGGTGCTGTTATTTTTTATTTCCAAGACATATTTTTTCTTCATATCCTTCTTTATATGCATTCTCTTCTGATTCCCTGTACATAGTGTCTCTAGTGAATGTTAGCTCATTAACATTTGCTCTGATTTCTCTGAAGACATTAACTATATTTATTTGTCTTCCTGTGCCTGCTTTATCTTGTTTCCTACATCATTTTTATCTACTTTGTGTTTGCTTTTGTCTCTTTCATGTTGGAGGTTTTCTTTAAGTATTTGTTCTTTGTCTATTCCTATAAAGAATGAGATATACCTTCATTGCACACCTAAGAATAGCATTTTTACATAAACATGGCCAGAGGGTAGGTAAGAGACCAGAGAAATGGTAATATCCTCCACAGTTGCTAAATGGCACAGAAGATCTTCTCTGATTAGGATTTGTGATGAAACTTCCATAGATCCTTGAGCTCTTTGATATTTAACACATAAGTTTAGATTTTAGTACATTTTATTTCCAAGAGAAAGGTCCATAACATCAATCAGTTCTTGAAACATAGCATCCTCTCAAAAGATTAACTGGCCTTGAGGTATAAGATGCTAGAGATACACCACAGCTGTTGAAATGGCAATTGTCTTTATTTGAGTGACGTGTTGGTGTAGCGTTACTGGAAATAACACAAATCTAAAGATCCGTTGTAATACTGAAGCAGGGAAAAATTGATTTGACATTCTTTAAAATGTTTATTAAGTCCTCTGGTACTACTACTTCTAAGATGAAGTCAGGGACAGAATTTATTGTTTCACCAGAAACAATTCAGAAGCAATTTTTTAAAAATGATTTTGAAGACATTGGATAACAGACAGGAAATTACACTGATTCCTGAGAAGTGATGGACAAGCAAGGTGATCTCTGTGATTATCCTGGGTTATTGCCTCTAGAGACTGTCTGAACCCTGGTACAGGGATGGGAACTGACATAGAACTTACTAGACTTCTTGTATTTCAGAGATGGAACTAAGAGTCCAGAGAGAGCAGGGTGGCTAAGGTCTAGCAGGGAAGACTAATGGAGATAAAGTAGCTGCACAAAGAATCTTTACGGGGTTCCTCTTCAAGTAAGGGTTCCTCAAGAATACTTATCAGTACTTGCATGTGGGGAAACTACCCTAGGCCATGGATAGTCCAAGAGGATAGCAAGAAACAGTGCTCAGATCTCTCACAGGCTCAGGAATAGTGCTTCTTCCCATCAACTAGGCTGGGAAAGCATAATTCATAGGACAAAGGGAGATTAATCTGAAGGATTTTGTCTCAGTTGTGGGAAAAATTAGTCCTAAGCTAAACGCTGCTCTGACCTGGCCTGGTAAAACTTACCTTTGGAGAGCAGGAAAGCCTTACTGATTGGGAGAAGGCAGAAAGGAAATTATAATATGCTAAGTAATATTCTATTTATTGAGCTGGGATATAGTTGTGAGAGTTGTGATATCATCAAGCTGAATATTTTTTTAAAGCTGAAAATCAGTGAGTGAAACATCTATTACTTAAAGGAGAATAAAACAAGCCCAAAGAAAAGTGCAAAGAGAAATAAGAAGGATAGTTAATGGTAGGCATACACACATAAAATAGAGGATCAGCAACGCCAGAAGCTGGTTCTTAGCAAAAAGTTGGGAAACTGACAAACTAATAGATTGACAGGGGGAAGGGGAGGAGAGGGAGAGAGAGAGAGAGAGAGGGAGCAGGAGAGTATGAGTGCTATATCAAGAATGGAAAAGGTGATGTAACTACATCTGATGAAAGCACTAAAAAAAAATAACAAAAAGACATTTGATCAACTCAGTGACTTTTAATTTGAAAAATTGATAAAACATCTGACCAAAAAAAAAACCCCACAATAAGTAAAATGACCTGAATTTCACATACTCAGTAATTTCCAGCTTCTATTTACACATACAATTCTATGTTTAGATCAGATTAGATGCATAAAAAAAGAAGAGGGGAAAAAGGATTGTTTTTTGTTTTTTTTAACTAAAAGTTTTGTTTGTTTAATTATTAGCACAAATGGTCTCCCATTTCCCTGGGAAGTAAGGCATCTTTGATATAGGGAGATAATGGTGTGCTAGTCAACCTCTTAAAGTGGCCCCTCTCTCCTGATATCCACTCCCCGTGTAACCCTTTCTTATTGTGTAGCCTGTACCTCGTGACTTCTAACAACCAAATAATAAAATACAGAACAGATGAGATGAGATGTCACTTCCAAGATGAGATCTTAAAGGACTCCAGCTTCTGTCTTGCTTACCCGCTCTCTTGCTCTTTCCTGCTCTGTTGTAGCCAGCTGCTGTGTTGGCAGGTGCCTTATGGAGAGGCCTGCGTATAACAGAACTGAGGGAGGTTCCTGGTCAACAGCCAGAGATGAACCGATGGCTCACAATGACAGTGGGGATGAGCTTGGAAAGAGATCTCTCCCAATTCGAGCCGGGAGATGATGACAGCCCTAGTTGACACTTTGCAGCCTGTGACAGCCCC